CAAACTGGACAGCTCCCCAGTGCTGTCCCCTGGGAACAAAGCCAAGCCTGATGACCACCGCTCCCGGCCAGGCCGGCCTGCAGTGAGTCATCTGGTGGCAGGCATGGCCCTGCCTTATTCTGGTTCAGGGCTTGGGGGCAGGCTGTGGAGCCTCTAGAGCCCTGGGGAGCTGGGTGTCAGGGGGGCCTTCACTAACCTACTGAGACGAGGGACGTGGGAAAGGCGGGACTGGCGCCTCTCCTGTTACTAACTGTCTTCCCCTCTCTCCTGCCTCCTCCTGGCTGCCTTTCTTCCCCTGCGGCCCCTCCCAGAGCTATAAGCGAGCGATCGGTGAGGTTAGTGCGATGGGGCCTGCTCACCCTGCCTGGGCCTCCTGGCACCTCTGCACCACCTCCACCCGCACCCGCCTCCTGCCCTCCTCATGCCTCTCCTCCCCTGCAGGACTTCGTGCTGCTGAAGGAGCGGACCCTGGACGAGGCCCCCCGGCCTCCCAAGAAGGCCATGGACTACTCATCGTCCAGTGAGGAGGTGGACAGCAGCGAAGAGGATGAGGAGGAGGGTGAAGGCGAGCCATCGGAGGGGAGCAGAGACACCCCTGGGGGCCGGTATGAGGGGTCCTGGGGCAGGGGCAGGGGGGAGGGGGGCAAGCAATGGTGCAGCTCCAAGGGAACGCAGTTCACCTTCTGTAGACAGTGGGGGCAGGGTGCTGCTGTTCCGCTCTCTCCTGCCATCCTGCCACTTGTTCGGTGGTCTTTGTCAGGAACCTCTCTCTCTCTGCACCAGCCTGGCCTGAGTGCCCTGCAGGGAGCATCTAACAGTGGAGCAGAGCTGCCCAGTGAGGGCTGAGCAGGTCCTACTTTAGAGAGAGATGGAGCCGTTGTCTTGGGCTGCCATCCTGTGGCCCTTGCGGGACAGGCAGCACCTGGAGGGCCCCACCTTCCTCTCTCCCACAGCAGCGATGGAGACACAGACAGTGTCAGCACCATGGTGGTCCATGACGTGGAGGAGATGAGCGGGACCCAGCCACCATACGGGGGTGGCACCATGGTGGTCCAGCGCGTGAGTGGCTCCCCCACCCCACCCAGTGCCTGCTGCGCACCCTCTCCGGCCAGCGCCAAGCCCTTCCCTCTGTTCTATAGACTCCTGAAGAGGAGCGAAGCCTGCTTCATGCTGACAGCAACGGTTACACGAACCTGCCCGATGTGGTCCAGCCCAGCCACTCCCCCACTGAGAACAGCAAAGGTCAAAGCCCACCCTCAAAGGACGGAGGCAGTGATGTAAGTGGGCTGGAGGCAAGTCTGCAGGGCGAGAGAGCAGCGTGGCAGTGGGCAGGAGATCCAGGGGTGCTGGGTGGCACTGCGGTGGGGGCAGTGAGCACTGTCAGTTAGGTGGCCGGGATTTCCTAAGTCTGCGACGATTGCAGGGGGAGGGCCACAGGCTGGGGTCATGCCTATTTGACTGACTGCCCCTCCCCCCCACAGTACCAGTCTCGTGGGCTGGTAAAGGCCTCTGGCAAGAGCTCGTTCACGATGTTCGTGGATCTAGGCATCTACCAGCCCGGAGGCAGTGGGGACACCATTCCCATCACAGGTGAGGACAGGAGTGCAGATCTGCAATGAGTCTGGAGTCCAGCGATGGCCCGGAGGAGAGCCCAAGGGGTCCCCTGAGGACACGGCTTTACAGAGCACGCACGGGCATAGGCCGTCTCCACTGGGCCTTAGCCCCTGCCCTGGGACAGAGGCAAGGAAGGGTTTCTGAGACACCTTGACAGACAAGGAAAAATGCCCAGATTGGCCAAGGGACCTGGGCAGAAGTTCAGAGCTAATGAGTGACAGGGCTAGGACTTGAGCCAGGCCTTTTGACCTCAAGTCCAGTGCTCTCTCTTCTATTCTGAGTACCCCTCTGTCCTCCAGTCTTTCCCTTCCCTTCTGAATACTGTGAGGCACCAAGACCAGGTGTAGGGGAGGGGAGTAAAGGGAGACAGAGGTGAGAGGACTATGGCCTATCCTTCTCTTCTCTCTCCTCCTGCCAGCCCTGGTGGGTGGAGAGGGCAGTCGGCTTGATCAGCTGCAGTACGATGTGAGGAAGGGCTCTGTGGTCAACGTGAATCCCACCAACACCCGGGCCCACAGTGAAACCCCTGAGATTCGGAAGTACAAGAAGCGATTCAATTCTGAGATCCTCTGTGCGGCCCTTTGGGGTAAGCCATGGCCGGGAGGGCTCAGGGGTCTGGCGCACCTCCCATGCTGTTGGTCAGCTGAGGGCCTAGCTCTGCCTCTGACCTGCCCATGGGCTCCTGCTGCAGGGGTCAACCTGCTGGTGGGCACAGAGAATGGGCTGATGTTGCTGGACCGAAGTGGGCAGGGCAAGGTGTACGGACTCATCGGGCGGCGACGCTTCCAGCAAATGGATGTGCTGGAGGGGCTCAACTTGCTCATCACCATCTCAGGTACGTGTGCATAGCACGGGGGCTCAGAGGAAGGGCTCGGCTCCTTGGCTCTCTGTCACCATCTTCAGCCTGGGAGGAGGGCAGCCTTGCCTTGGTCCAGCAGCCGAAAGGTGGGGCCGTGCTTTCTCGCCCCTTGTGGTATGCGGACAGGGTGACGGGGAGGCAGCAGCTGGGCCTCCAGTGAGGACGGGAGTGTGTGTGTGCGTATGTGTGTCCGTCTCTCAGGGAAAAGGAACAAACTGCGGGTGTATTACCTGTCCTGGCTCCGGAACAAGATTCTGCACAATGACCCAGAAGTGGAGAAGAAGCAAGGCTGGACCACTGTGGGGGACATGGAGGGCTGCGGGCACTACCGCGTCGGTGAGGATGTCACCGCAGAGCGGCCAGGGCACATAAGAGAACAGAGAGAGGGGGGCCTGGACTTAATGTCTAAGAAAGCCTTAAAGCTGGAGACTTGGGGCCTAGGGTTGGGGTGGGGTCATGGCAGACCTATGGGAAGGGGCCAGCCGTCCAAGAAGGGCAGACCCCTGCATCTGTCTGTTTTCCTGCCACCAGTGAAGTACGAGCGTATTAAGTTCCTGGTCATTGCTCTAAAGAACTCCGTGGAGGTGTATGCCTGGGCCCCCAAACCCTACCACAAATTCATGGCCTTCAAGGTAATCCCAGCCTCAGCTTCCCAATACTGTTCCAGGGAGCAGCTCCTCCACCTGTGTCTCCTGAGCCCTTCTCTCCTCCACAGTCCTTCGCGGACCTCCCACACCGCCCTCTGCTGGTTGACCTGACAGTAGAGGAGGGTCAGCGGCTCAAGGTCATCTATGGCTCCAGTGCCGGCTTCCATGCTGTGGATGTCGATTCGGGAAACAGCTATGATATCTACATCCCTGTGCACGTGAGCATGGTGGGGCTGCAGGGACAGTGGGACCACACTGGGCACCAGACATGGGGACTTCAGCCCACCCTCTCCACCCCAGATCCAGAGCCAGATCACGCCCCATGCCATCATCTTCCTCCCCAACACCGACGGCATGGAGATGCTGCTGTGCTACGAGGACGAAGGCGTGTACGTCAACACATACGGGCGGATCATTAAGGATGTGGTGCTGCAGTGGGGAGAGATGCCCACCTCTGTGGGTGAGTGAGGTGCCTGCCCCTGAACCACGTGCCCAGTGTGGCCCAGGAGTGTGGCCTGCTCACCTCCCATAACTGCCTTCTCCCCATAGCCTACATCTGCTCCAACCAGATAATGGGCTGGGGTGAGAAAGCCATTGAGATCCGCTCTGTGGAGACGGGCCACCTGGATGGGGTCTTCATGCACAAACGAGCCCAGAGGCTCAAGTTCCTGTGTGAGCGGAATGACAAGGTGTGCTGGGCTGGCTCTGTGACCCGATGCTCTTGAGCAGGGTTCCGGGAAGGGATGGTTGTGGCGTCTTCCTGAAAGGGGGCCCCTCTGGGAGTACCATGTGCAGTCACAACCTCTGCCCTTATCTGCCTTTCTGTTTCTGAGAACTTTCCAGATTCCTTCACCCCAAGGGTCTGGTGGCATACCCTCTTCCCCAAACATTTCTGCCTTTCATCAGGGATGGGTCCACTGTGAGAGTCTCATTCCATTCTGCAGTTTCTCTCTCGCTCCCCCCACCTTCCCCTCTGCCGGTTGAGAGCCCCACCCCCCACTCCAGCCCTTGGTGACTTCTTCTCCTACCCCACCCAGGTGTTTTTTGCCTCAGTCCGCTCTGGGGGCAGCAGCCAAGTTTACTTCATGACTCTGAACCGTAACTGCATCATGAACTGGTGATGGGGCCCTGGGCTGGACTGTCCTACACTAGACCCAGCTCTCCCCTACAGCCAGACTTCCCAGGCCGCCCCTCTTTCCCCTCCCTGGGCTTTTGCTTTTACTGGTTTGATTCACTGGAGCCTGCTGGGAACGTGACCTCCGACCCCCGATGCTTTTGTGATCACGTGACCATCCTCTTCCCCAACATGTTCTCCCCCCAAAACTGTGCCTGTCCCCAGCTTCTGGGGAGGGACAGAGATTCCCCTTACCAGGAATTGAGTGGGCCTAGCCCCTCCTCCCCTTTACTTAAGAGGAGAGTGCTTGGGGCTCAGACCCCTAACCCCACTGCTGCTGACTGGGCAGGGCCCTGGACCCCTTTATTTGCACGTCAGGGGAGCCGGCTCCCCCCCTGAATGTACCAGACCCTGGGGGGGGTCACTGGGCCCTAGGTTTTAGGGGGGTCACCAGCCATTCCAGGGGCAGGGACCATTTCCTCATTTTCTGAAAGCACTTTAATGATTCCCCTCCCCCCAAACCCCAGGGAATGGAGGGGGGACCCCGCCAGCCAAAACACTCCCCCCTTTCCAGCCCCATCTCCTCTTCTAGCCTCTGCCCTTCCCTGGTGGAGGGCAGGAGCAGGGAGCTCTCACCCTCCACACCCCTTGCTTGCATCTGTATATAGTGTGAGCATCAAGTAGCCCTTCTCCCTCGCCCACCCCTCCTCAATGTAGTGGCCTTGGATATCCCGTTTGTTAATAAAGACAATTCAACCAGCTCCCATCATTTCAGGCCCCATTTTATTCTGTTTTCTCTCACAATCCTGGATACTAGCCTGCAGAGTTGGGATGAAGGAGGCAGGGTGGGGTGGAATCAGCAATGAGTGAGGCTTTATGGGGTTTGGGGGGACAGTGCTAGGCCAAGAGAAGCTAGAAGGAAGGACTGAGGGGGGGGCAGGGCATCCTCAGCCGTAAACCTGTGGGCCCACGAGCAGCCTGCAGTGAGGGTATGTGGTCCCCACCCACTCTGACAGAACCAGGCCAGAGAAGGCCAGGGCTCTCTGGCTCCAGCCTCCCTATGTGCAAGTCCTGCAGAGGCGTCTCTCCTGTTTAGCGATCAAATGGATAAAGCTTAGAAGCTCTTAGGCCTCCCAAGTCACCTGGGGCCGAGCCTGAGCAAGGCTGACTTGAGCCATCCTTGCTTTCTGGAGGATTGGCACCCAAGAGCCTGCCTGAACCGTCTGCCCCCACTTCTGACCCCAGGACTGAGCCAGACCCACACACATGGGTACATGCAGTTCCTCTTGGGAAGTTCACAAAACACAGATTTTATTATCAGCACTGGGAGAGGACCATAATACAGTGGTGGTGGCAGGCTCTTTTTTCAAAATCTATTTGCTACTGGAGAAAGGTGGGGAACTCGGGGTCGGTGTGGACTCTGGTCAGATACAAGGCGGGTAAGGGAGATCAGGCACTTGGTTGAAGTAGCCACCGAGGAAGATGAGGCAAGAGCCGACGCTGAAGAGCACCAGAGCAGCCCAGAAGCAGACGTTGTCCAGGGCCTTCCCCATGCGCACCCAGTCGGACACCTCCTGGGGAAGGGACGGCACAAGCTGAGGCCATAAAGGGGCGTCTGCAGGAGCCAGCGGCACGGGAGATGGGGGGCCTCTGAAGCGCTCCACCCGCCTCTCTGGCTCCTGCCCCACCTCGCCAGCGGCCTCCTGGTTTCGCTTGTTCTCAGCCACGAAGTTCACGGCGTCCACACAGCAGCGGATCTCGGGGGCGGCGGCGCCCAGGCTCCGGCAGAGGGCTGCTGCGGGGCAACACCGGGGATGCGTCATTACGCACCTCCCCGCTACGGGCGCCCGGCAGCCGGCGGTAGCCACTGTGCTCACCGGTCCAGGTCCCGTGCCGGTGCCTCTGCCCCTCAAACACGAGCTCGCTGCGCGGCTTTTTCAGTATCAGCTCCTCCGCGCGGAGCAGTATGCCCACGGACGACGCCCGTCTAGGGGGCGCCGCGGCCCGCGGGGTCTCGGGGGGCGAGCCCGAGCCCAGGAGGCTCGGCAGCAGCTCCAACAAAACCTGGGGGCGGGGCCGGGGCGGGGCTTAGCGCGAAGCCCCTCCTCCCGCCCCGGCGCCCACCCAGTTCCCCTGCGCTTACGTGGCGCAGCCGCGGGGACGTGGCGTGAGTGGTGGGCGTCCGCAAAGACACGTTGAGCACGATGACGCAATTCATGACAATGAGCGTGGCCACCACCATGACGAAAATAAGGTACCTGAAGAGCCCGGGATGCGGGACGTCGCAGCCTCCGCAGTCCCCCCCCAGCCACAGATGGCACCGCCGGTCCTCTGACCTCACAAACACACCTCTCTCCGCAAGGGGTGGACACACCCCCTAACGGCTCCCCTCGGCGAGGCCGGCGTGTCCTCCGGCCCTTCTGACCCTCCTACCACCTGTGGCGGCCATGAGGGGGACCCCCAGCTCCCTGGACACCCTGCTGTGGGTCTACCACTTCCACAGCTCCACGCAGGTGAGGTTACACCCACAGTGCCGCCCTCGAGACCCTCCGGGCAGTTCTCCAGCGCCCCCCAACTGCGACTCCTGCCCTATGACTCTGCCCCTGCTCCTTCTCTAGGTGGCCCTCCAGCCCCCGCTTCTGTCTTCCCTGGAACTCGCTGCAGCCGCAGCCCATGACTATCTGGAGCAGAGGTTCAGAGAGCTGAAGTCCCTGGAGCCGCAGAAGCCCGAGAAGCCGTCCTCCCCGAAGCCCACACTGGGGCTGGTACTAAGAGAAGCCGCGGCCAGCATCATGAGCTTCGGGACCACCTTGTTAGAGGTGGGGCGCTGAGGAGGAGAGGGGGACAAGGGGCCGAGGAAGGGGGATAGGGCAGCGGGAGCAGGGACCTCTGCATCCCCGCTAACCCCTGGGACCGCCATGCAGATCTCAGCCCTGTGGCTGCAGCAGGAGGCGCGGCGTCTAGACGGCGGCGACGGCAGCCCGGGCCCAGCCCCAGAGCCCGGGGATCCGGGTGGCGCGCTGGCCCGGGTAGCCCAGGCCGCCGGGCAGGGGGCTTGGCAAACTGGGGCTGCGGCGGGAGCGAGCGCACGACTCCTCGCCCAGGGGGCGTGGCTGTGCCTGTGTGGACGGGGTCTGCAGGGGTCCGCCTCATTCCTGCAACAGTGGCGACGGCAGCTGGGCTTCGGCATACCCGGGGAGTCGGTGAGCTCGGGATGGAGGGTGAGTTTGGGGCCAGAGGCGGCAGGGCCTGGGAAGCACTGAGCCGGACCGTCTCCCAGCAGAGATACTCGGGAGACCTCAAGGTGGCGTCCAGCAGCAGTGCGGAGGACGGGGGACCAGAGAATCCATAACCGTCCCAGCCCCCCCACCCCGTCCAAATAAAGCCCAGGAAGGGACGAGACACCCAAAGCTTCTCCCAGAGTCGCTTGGTTTGGGTCGCGCCCCGAGCCGGGCCGACCTTCTTGGCTCCGCCCCATGCTTGTCTGGCTCCGCCCCTCGTGTTGACCGCGCCCCCACGGGCACCGCTGGGACCCGCTCTGCCCTCACCTGCCCAGCAGGGGCACGCTCAGAGACGTTTCTGGGATTTTCTGGGCAATGAGGAACAAGAAGACGGTCTGGGCGAGCAGGACGTTGATGGAGACGGTGCATTTCTGGCCGCCGGCTGGAAGGAGCCGCGGGGGAGAGCCGGCCCCGCCCCCGAGGAGAACGCGGCCGCGTTAGGGTTGGGGCGAGCGCCCACCCTGCGCCGGCAGGAAGTAGGCGAGCAGCACGAGGCCCGAGATGAGCACGCAGGGCACGATGATGTTGATGACGTAGAAGAGCGGCTTGCGGCGGATGATGAGCGTGTAGATGACGTCGGTTTCCTCCGGGCGGTCGGCGGGGCCAGCGTGGTGGCGGCGGATCTCCCCGGGGCAGAAGTCGATGGCCCACTCGCCGTTCTCTGCAGGGCGGGAGGCGCGGTCAGCCCGCTCTCGGAGGGCCGCACACCCGACCGCGGAAACCTGTGGCTCCGGGGCCAGGACGGGAGGCCGCTCTCCGGACCAGAGTGAACGGGTTGCACTATGGGCCGTCAGACTGGGGGCGATTCCGGCGGAAAAGGCCATTCCTGGGGAGGGTGTGGAAAGACCGCAAGCGAGGAGGCAGGACTAGTGTGACAGTCGAGAATGACTTCAGGAAAGAGGCAAGCTAGAGTGCAGCTGCCGAAGCCAGTCCTTGGTGTCTCCGGTCTGGCCACCCTCCCCCTGAACGACCCCTCTCTGGACCCTGTCTAGAAGCGGGTTTTTCGGAGCAGGAGGGTGCTTCACCGGTAAAGGCCTCAGTGTCAATGTCCATCTTGTTGACAGGCTCGCCGCTGTCCTCAGCAAAGACGATCGCCACCTCCTCGGCGCTGTACGTCTGAGAGCTGCGGAGCCGGGGCCCGGGCCCCCACCTCAGGCCCCGGCCTGGAAGCTTGGGTCTTGCGGTGTAATGAGGCTCCACCCGGCGACCCCTGCGCTGCCTGCACGCCTCCGCCCCCACCGTCACTGCGAACCCGTCCGGAACGCCCCCCCCCCCAGGCCAACACCTGGCTCCGCCCCCAGCGCAAAGCCCCGCCCCATGGATACGCTCCCTGCCTGGCCCCGCCCCCTGTGCCGGCTCCTCCCGTAATCGTCCAGGCCTCTGAGTAACTTTTCCCACCGGAAAACAAGCGAGCAGTTCTGCCAGTCGAAGGGGAAGTAGGTGACCTCCACGGCGCACGTGCTGCGGTAGATGGCTGGGGGCAGCCAGCTCACGTAGCCGCCCTCGAAGATCCGCACGTTGGCGTCGTAGGCCACACCGAACTGGCCGTCAATGCTGTGGGCTCAGGGAAACCGAGCTCTTGGCACGGGTCTGCGCACCCCTGCAAGCACCCCATGCCCCAACCCAAGGTGAGTCCAGCCCTCCGGGCCGGCTTCCCTCCGGCCTGGCGTCCGGCCCGGTCCTCACTTGTTTTCCAGCACAATCTCTGGTAGCCATACGAGTTCTGAAGGGACCCACAGGGTGTGTAAGCCCCCAAAGTCGTCCTTGCTGTAGTTGAGTCGGTAATCATGCCAATCCTAAAGGGTGGAGGGCGGAAGGATGTGGACCCTGCATCTCCCACCTGATGCTGCCTGGAAGGAGTTTGGAAGAAAGGAGTGCCCTGGGCAAGACCTCACACTGTCCCCTGATCTGACTCACGATTCCAATCCAGACGCTGGTAGTGAGGGTCTCCTCTTTCTCGTTCTGCAGACAGGAGGTTGGGATGATTGATGTGGGATTTCAGGGCCAGGAGTGAGCTTTAGGACAGAGCTCAGCGGTTGGGTCCGAAAGTGGGATTTTAGGCTCAGGACGGGGGTGGGGGTATCTTACCAGTGAGATGAGGTTGGTCAGGGTGACCTTGAGGGTGATGGTGACAGTATCCTCAGGCTCTCTCACTGGCCGGCTTTCTCGGTCATAGTTGTCGAAGAGATGGTGATAGAGACGCAGCTCCTCATTCTTCCCCTGGCCTCTGCCTGGGATGGGGTCGAGAAAGAAGGGTCATTGGGGATGAAGAGGCTGGGGGGCTTTTCCTCTGTCTCCTCTGGATCTCTGAGGCTATTTCTCCGTGTCTCCCGAACCAGTGATACTGTGCCCAGGAACCAAATATCACATGTCTATGTCTTGACCTGCGTCTTTGCCCTTTGTGTCAGTACCTCTGTGTGGGTCCAGTTGCCTCCCCTGACCCCTGTTCATACCAAGGAGCCCCAAGAGGAGCAGGGCACCGAGCAGGGCCCCTGCCATTCTGCTCTCTGGTTCTCAGGGTTATTCTGAGCTCTGACAGGCTTGGAGGGGGGGTAGGCCAGGGTGCATGTGTCAGGGGGAGGAGGGTGTTAGTTCCGGGCTGGGTTAGGGGACTGTCACCTAATCCACTAACCACCCCTCCTACAGCTGGGAACATTTTGGCTGCTTCTAGAGGCAGCTGCCCCATCCTGTGTTCTCTGTCCCCTGCCCCCACCCCATCCCAGCATCCCTTGCCTGGTCTTCAGCCAGGTTCCCAGCCACAGACCTGATCCTTTCATGAGAGGAGCAGGCTTTTAAAAGCACCTGGAACCATAAGCCTAGCAGCAGGGAACGGGATACCCTGTTTTCAACATGCACTGGTGTCCTTTGAGTAAGCTGCCCTGTATAAGTGACTCCGCCTGATGAACACATCTGGGGATGTGACACACCCCTTGCCTTCCGTACTTACCCATGCGGAACACACACTGTCACAACCCACAGTCCAACCAAGGTCAACACTAATGCCAAGTTCCTCCTGGCAGAGTTTAGCAAAAAGCCGTGTCTCCATAAAGACCTAGTGATGTGACCTGTGGTCACAGACCCAGGATTAGTCTGCAATAAGAGACTCCACCTGGCAAAGGAGACCATGCTGCAATACAGCCTCCACCTCCTTCCACAACCTGATCCTCATGTCTGCCCACCCCTGCCCCTCTGGGTGTGATCACCTGCCAGAGACTCCTGTTTCTCTTTGCCTTTCCCTGCTGCCTCCTTGTGGCCACAGATGATAGTACTGTCTTCACCCCACCCTCTGAAACACACACACCCTTTAAGTCTTCTTGAACCACTCTAATCAAACACTTGTGGTGCTTATTTAAAGTGCAGATTGCAGCGCCGGCCAGTGGCTCACTTGGGAGAGTGTGGTGCTGATAACACCAAGGCCACGGGTTCAGATCCCTATATAGGGATGGCCAGTTAGCTCTCATGGGAGAGTGTGGTACTGACAACACCAAGTCAAGGGTTAAGATCCCCTTACTGGTCATCTTTTAAAAATAAATAAATAAATAAAAATAAAGTGCAGATTCCTAGGTTCCATCGCTAAGGAATCCTGATTTAGGAATATGGGAGAGATGGGGTGCCAAGAATCTTTATTTTCAAGACACTATCCAGGTGTTCTTCATGGGGTAGGAGGTGCTGGACTAAGCACTTTGTATTCCCTGCACCTGTCTTCCTCACACCAATCCGGCAAAGCAATTACCATTGATAATCAAAAAAACTCCTCTGACCAGGTCAGCTAAATTACAGTGCCTTGGGAAATCTGGGATAAGTCAATAGTCACATCTATCTGCCCTGAAAAATGTTGTCATAAGACCATTTTTACTTAGAAGCAGATGGGAAGGCACCAAAAAGCCATAAAATAAGCTAGAACGCTTCTTATTACCATTACCCCAGATCCCTGCGAGTAACCTAGTAACAATCTCAAATCCATACGTCATGTAGTGCCAGTAGAAAACCTGATGAAGGGGGCCGGCTGGGTGGCGCACTGCTACAGTGCGCCGCTTGGGAGCGTGGCGGCACTCCCGCCGAGAGTTCGGATCCCACATACAGACCAGCTGCTCACTGGCTGAGCGAGGTGCAGACGCAGCACCAAGGGTTGTGATCCCGTTGCTGGTCCCCGTCCGGTACGGGCGCGACACTGGGGCGCGACACTGAGGGTTGCGATCCGTTGCCGGACACGAAAAAAAAAAAAATCATTTCGGGCCGGCCTGTGGCTCACTCGGGAGAGTGCGGTGCTGATAACACCAAGGCCACGGGTTCGGATCCCATATAGGGATGGCCGGTTGCTCACTGGGTGGGCGTGGTGCTGACAACACCAAGGCCACGGGTTCGGATCCCATATAGGGATGGCCGGTTCGCTCACTGGGTGAGCGTGGTGCTGACAACACCAAGTCAAGGGTTAAGATCCCCTTACCGGTCATCTTTAAAAAAAAAAAAAAAGAAAACCTGATGAAGTAATTAGGTGGGCTACCTTTTTCTCTCTCTCCTTTGACCCTTCCCCCTTCTTGTGATTATAAAATGCTAAGCAGTGCCAGCCCTCTTCGTAACACGTTTCTCAGGGCAAACTGACTGCATCAACCTGGCTGCCGTTGTCATATTGGCACAATAAATCCTTGCTATATGTATTTGGCCTCAGTTTCTTTTTAGGTCAACACCAAAGTCCTGAGTGCATGAAACAGAACTCTAGGTCAAAGTCCAAGCTTACACCAATAAATTGGTAATAATGCATGAGGATGGTCAATCAGCTATTGATCGTGTACACCTGTGTTCATTTTTTTTAGATTAGAAAAAATATGGGGGGCCGACCCCGTGGCTCACTCGGGAGAGTGCGGCGCTGGGAGCACAGTGGCACTCCCACCGCGGGTTCAGATCCTATATAGGGATGGCCGGTGGTGTGTTCACTGGCTGAGCGCTGTGTGGGCAGTGATCCCCTTCCCGGTCACACAAAAAAAAAAAAAGTGGAAAAAAAAATATGGAATGCTTCACGAATTTGCGTGTCATCCTTGTGCAGGGGCCATGCTAATCTTCTCTGTATTGTTCCGATTTTAGTATATGTGCTGCCAAAGGAAGCACCACTTGTGTTCATTTGATGCTTAACAAAACACTTTCATGTCCATCATTTTGGGGTCTCCTTCCCCTACCTGTGAGGTCCCTCATCATTGCCTCCATGTTCCAAGTGAGGACACCAAAGACCAGAGTGTCTACATGGCTCCTGTCCATTCCCCAAACACCCCGAAAGCATCCACTTCTAGTGATAATACCTTGTAATTCCATGTTTTCCACTTCACACCTTCAGAGAAAGGATCTGATTGTCCCAACTCACCTCGTTGCCCATGCCTGGTACATATATTGACTAAAATCTGTGCCACTGCTTATTCCACGGCCACTGGCTTAGGGCCTAGGCCAAAAGCTGTTGTGATAAATGCAGATATTTCTTCAAACATTAATGGGCACCAACACAGGGCCAGATGCAGTGATTATAGACATGAATAAGACATGGCTCAAGGAGTTGTCATCTAATGGTGAAGACCTATAAACAGTGTCACCAGAATTATGAAAAGACTAAAAAGCAGGAGCTACAGGTTGGATGAGTCAGATCCACTCAGCTCTGTCTTAAGAAAAGCAAGGGTTCCTGTAGGCTTCCTGTAGGCTTACACATAGACCAGTGTCAGAGGCCAAGTGGCTCTGGGGACTGGCCACCCCCACCTCTCCTGTCTCTGCTGCTCTCTGCTCTGTGCTTCTTTCACCACTGACCAGCCTGCCTGTGCTCCCTGCTTCGTATACCCTGTTAAATTTCTGCCTTCTCATAGCTTCTGCATCATTTCACCACAGTCTTGGCCCCAACTTGACTTCTTAGCTTCTCCCTGCAGATGCAGCCAATTCAGCCTTTGCTCTCATCACTACCAGCCTGATGCCATGCAGCCTGGGGTTACGGACACCAAAGAGTCATGGGGTTGACCTAAGTGTGTCCCATTTACCAAGGGTGGTGGATGTGGTGGGCCCTATGACTGGCCATGTGTCTGGTGCCTTCCACCCCTTACCAACCCAGCCTGGTTCCTACATATTTAGTTCCCAAAACACCCTATCATGATCCCATCCTCACTGCTACAACTGAAAATTCACTATATCCTCCCTAGCAGGATTGAAACTTGAAGATGTGCTTCCTAAAGTGATTGGGGCAGGGACCCTTCAAAGAACTCTCCACCCAGAGTCCAGTGACCTGTGGCTTAAGTACAGTCTCACCCGGGTGTGATTGCCATCCATTCTCCAAAGGACTGGCTAAATCCTCAGTTTAACCACCAGCACTACATCATGTATAAACAATACACCCTTCACATCATATAAAATACAATAGTTGACAGAACTACATTTGGATCAACAACCTGCATAGAGGAGAGTCATTCGGGGTTGGGGGAGAAACCCGTGTATGGCAGTGTGGGCCGTTGGTCCCAGGCAGAGATGACATTCTACAGAGAGCACCTCGCTCTAGTCACCCCGGTTGCAGCCGCCGCTTGTGAGTGAAGGTCTTGCTCAGGCCAGTGAATTCCACGGGCATCAGCTTGCTGCCTCGCTTCTGCCGCAGAGTCAGCACTTC